CACTAGGTCACCAGAGCTCCCTTCTTCTTTAGTCATCTTATTCAGTGTTCAACTTTCAGATACGTAAGAAGCAACTGAAAAAGCCATGGCTTGGACTAGAAGTCCGTGACAGCAGATTTTCCCAATGCAACACATCTTTTGATTCCATAACTGCTGTTACTATGGATGTTGATTGTGGATCCAAGTAAACGAAAACCCTTGACAACTTCAGCCTTTTCACCATCTAGTATGATGTCTATTGGCTGAGTGGAGAAGACTTTTCTTTTCTTGGTGTGGAGATATAGTCCATATAAGGCTGATCTTCTGCAGCAAGTGCTGCAAGTCCTCTTCATGAATGAGGTGTGCCTAACACAAGAAGCTGTGCTGCAATCCCTAAGGCACACTGTTCAAATCCGCGAGCTGCTCCACAGGAGCAGTATGGGAAATCTCCTCCTGTGTGATTAACTGTGTCTGAAAACCCACCTTTCCTTCCTTCAGATGCTGGCCCCCTCCCTGTCTGTTCTTTACTCCAGGGGAGGGGAGGGAAGGAAGGAGGAGGTAGCAAGCTAGGACAGCTGGCCATGGTCAGTGACAACCTGGGAATGATATATCTTCACTCAAATGATGAATGAGCCATCACAAGAACATGGAAAGAGCCCAAATGCCCAACCACAACTGAATGGATTGAGAAACGGTGGTACATTCACACAGTGGAATACTATGTACCACTCAGAAGCAACGATTTTTGAAAAACACTACATAACCTGGGAGAGACTAGAGAGTATTGTGCTGAGTGAACTAAATCAGTCTCCTAAGGACAAATACTGCATAAGACAATTACTGTAATAAGCAATTACTGCAAAAATAGAAGAATAACAAGTAAAACATTTATGGTGATCCAAGAGAAGAAGGAGTCGGAGTAGAGGGGTGAGGATGAGTAGGGGCAAAACCATGGAATTGCACACTTTGGTGGGTGGAGGGAGGAGGTAAAGGAAATGGGAAAGGTCCAGCAGCGACCTGAAAAGACAGGGTAATGGTGAGCATAATCCAATGGTGATTAATTTTATAAAACATAATAAATGAGAATGACTGTATGAAACACAATGTGAATGAAGAATAGTGTGAAACACAATGTATGCAAACTTTGTAAGCAAACTAATAGAAAATAATTTTTTTTAAAAAATCATGAATTAGATGGATTATAATTCTTCTCTTTGGAATTTAAAAATCCTGGATGAGAGTTACCTGTTGATGGGGCCATCATGTCTGCATGGTCAGACAGGCAAAGTGTGCATGCTAGAGAGAAGAGGTAGGTAAATACACAGAACGGGCAGGGACCAGGAGCTGCTTGGGTCCCACAGCACATGGTCAGAGGGTCCTGAGACTGACCATCTCTGTCTTGATCCAGCTGGAATGCCCTGATCCTGCCTTGGGAAGATTGCTGAGAATTCCTGGGCTCTTGGGAACTATCAGCAGGAAAGAATTAAAAATGGCATTCTGAGGGAGTTTTGGTGGCCTAGTAGCAAGAAACTGTGCTATAATCCCAAAGGTGAGCAGTTCAAAACCACCAGATGCTCCGCTGGAGAAGGACAGGCAATCTCTTCCTGTACCAGCTGGATCCAATTCAATGGCGCACGCGCGCGCGCACACACACACACACACACACACACACACACACATGCACAAAAATAATAATAAAATAAAAGACTTTTTTAAAAAACGGCATTCTCTCTTGGAATCCACTTCCATCTCCCTCCCTTCCTCCTATGCCCCCATACCCAGAGTCCGGTGAACAGGGGCTGCCTTCTGTCTCCTGTAGACAGTGCCCCAGGTGTATCAGATGGGTACCATGCAGAGCACCAAGCGAATGCTAGAGTCCCACAAGGGCTGAGTATTCTCCTGACAGAAGCATCGCATCACGGAGTGACAGAGTGAGAACTCTCACCTGTGATACATTGGGAAAATCCACTACCAAAGGCTTCTTTAAAGTCCTAAAAAGCAGGGATATCAGTTTAAAGACTATGGTACACTTGATTCAAATGATGATATTTTCAATTGCCTCCTATGCATCTGAAAGTTGGACAATGAATAAGGAAGACAGAAGAATCAGTGTCTTTGAATTGTGGGGTTGGAAGAAAGTATTGAACATCTCTCCAAAAGAACAAACAAGTCTGTCTTGGAGGAAGAGCAACCAGGGTGCTAGATGGTGAAACTTCGGTCTCACTTACTTTGGGCATGCTGTCAGGAGGGGCCAGGCCTTGGAAAAAGACATCATGCTCAGAAAGGTCAGAAAATGAAAGAGGAAGACTCCTGACAAAATGGATTGCCACCGTGGCTGTAACAATGGGCTCGAGCATGTTGGAGCTGTGAGGATGGCACAGGACAGAGCAAGGCGCTGGTTTACTGTTCATAGGGTTGCTAATCTGCAGCTCATCCATCAGGTGAGAAGCCTGGACAACAAACGCTGCTGTGAGGAGCCACTAGGTGGCCCCAGCTTACCTGTCCATCCTCCCTTCTGCAGACCTGAGAGAAGCTCCTCCAGAGTCCTGTTCTCACCCTGTCCATCGGCTTGCATGCCCTCGTCTTCCCCGTCTTTGCTTAGCAGCTCCACACCTAAACAGTCTTTTCCCCGTCCATGTAGGCACTTTTGGCCCTCAACTCTGGCTCACTCCCATCTCCTCTGGAATGACTTCCCTGATCACCGGGAAGCTCAGCACATAGGCATTACCTTCCAGATTCCTCCCTGCTAGATTCCTAGCTTAGGGTCTCCCTGCTAGACCGCCAGCCTCAGGAGGCAGGGCTGGAGGGAGAGCGGGCTTCCCGGTGTGCATACCCATGCTTGGCGTTTATGTCTTCTCCCCATACTGTGTAATCTCAACCTAGCAGCTTCATGGCCACGTACACGTGGCAGGGGCCAAGCTCACAGCTCACCAGTAAGGGGAAGGACAGGCTGTCATTCCTTGTTCAAGGAGGAAGCTGAATCTCAGAAAGGTCGCAGAATCTCCTCAAGGTCACCCAGCCCTGTAACAGCAGAAAAGTCTGAGCTTTTACCTCATACGGAATTTACATGGAACACTTCTGAAGAAGGTGCTGTCAAACCCTTGGTATACTGGGCAAACGGGTGAGGTCAAATGGGTGAGGCAGGGAAGGTGCCTTTCACCACATCCCTCTTTTCGCCACACCCCTCGGCCAATGCACGAGGGCCCTACAGCTCTGGAAAGAGAAGAAGGGACGTGGGTACCATCTAGGAAGGGCTAGAGGCCCAAGTGGACTTTTAGCCAGTGTCTCCTTTCTCTGTGCAGCCCCCATGTGGGGAGCAGTGGAGCCAGGCTGCAGAAGAGAGAGATGAGGTGAGGAGGACGCTCTCCAGGGGAGTAAGGGCTGCCGTCAACCAAGCATCTAGCAGGTGGTAACAGGCTCCAGAGAGGGCCCAAGAGGCAGGAGGTTCCCTGGCCCCAGCGCTGAACTCAAAGCTGGACCCAAGCAATCTACGCGTGGTACCCCTAACCCCCGCCCCTTCTCCTGACAGCATCGCTTGCGAGGGACTGAAAGGGGCTTGGGAGAAGGATGAGGATGGGCGACAGACTGGCAGCCGGTGGGAGAGAGACGAAGATGGTGCCAGGGAACAACGTGGCGGGCCAAGGCGCCCTAGGAGCCGGAAAACAGCTTTGGGGAGAAGCGGGGGCGGGGCAGAGGACGGGGGCGTCTATTCTGTAACTGGGGGAGCAAGAGAAGATAGGGGGCCCGCGGAAAAGCAAGGAGGAGGGGAAGTTGGCGGGGAACAGTCGTCGGGCAGTGTGGGCGCCTCGCGGTCAGAAACCACAATAGCAGCTCGTTAACAGCGCAGATTAAGGACTTTGTCAATTACCTCCGAAGGCTGCTCCAGGCGGATTAAATGCTTTTTAAAGTGCTGCGAGTGGGAGGGGGCGACTGAAAAGCCCCTTCGCGGCACAAATCCTTCCTCTCCCGGGCCGAGGAGGCGGGGGCTGAGACGGCGCGAGGCGCGCGTGGGGAAGGCGGGCGAGCGCGGTGAGCGCGGGCAGAGCGCGGAGCGGCTCGCACTCGCCGCCGCGGCGGCTGTGGCCGCGGTTAGGGGTTCCCCGTCCAGTCCGCGGGCGAGCCGGCAGGAAGGCGTCGGCTGGCACTACGTCCGAGTGAGCAAGGGCCGGGAGGGAGGAAGTCCTCGCGGCTGGAAGCTCCGGATCGAAGCACTTGCCAGGAACCCAGACCTCGGAGACCCGCAGGGGGCGTGCCCCGCGCCATCCCCTTTCCACTACTCCGCCTGAATCTCTAGGTGAGCACTATACCCCAGTCTCGGAGGCCGAACAAGAGGAGCGCTGCCTCTGCCCAGAGGAGACCCCCGACGGCCCGGCAGTCCCCCCACGACCCCCTACGGCGTCCACCCCGGCCCCACGCCCCCCGCGCTCGGTGAGTTGGCGCGAGAGTCTGGTTTAGGAGGAAGTTTGTGCAGAGGCATCTGTGACTTTCAGGTCCCAGGCGGGAGCCAGTGAAAGCGAAGCTGCCAGCTGCCCTCCGGGGCGTGCTGGTGTCGGCGTTCTGCCCCCTATCCTGATCTTTCTGGAAGTGGAGTTTAATTCTCAGCCCGGGGTGTGCGTGTGCATGTGTGCGTGTGTGTGTGTGTTTTGAGGAGACTGCGAGAAGGGGAAAAAAGGCAAAGAGAGTTCGAGACAAAAAAAGACCTCGAGATTGAGAAGAAGGGAGGGAGAGAGCGAAAGAGCGCGGGAGGAAGGAAA